ACCCCAAATTTTGGTATCATCAGCGAATTTAAACAGGTTGCACTTCACCCTGTCGTCCAAATTGCTGATGAAGAAATTGAACAGCGCAGGTCCCAGGACCGAGCCCTGGGGGACTCTGCTGCCCACTTCCCCCCAGGTCGAATATGACCCGTCCACCAGCACCCTCTGAGTACGACCCTTCAGCCAATCTGCAATCCATCTGACTGTGTAGGCATCAATGCCACAGTTGCCTAGTTTTTTAATGAGGATGGGGTGGGAGACGGTGTCAAAGGCCTTGCTGAAGTCTAGAAAGACTACGTCCATGGTGACACCTGCATCCATTGCCTTTGTGACCTGATCATAACAGGCAATCAGGTTGGTCTGACATGACCTGCCCCTAATGAAATCGTGCTGGTTGCCCCTGAGCATCATCCCTGAAGCTGGCCCATCACAGATGTGCTCCTTGAGGATCTTTCTCAAAGAGTTTCCCAAGGATAGAGGTAAGACTGACGGGCCTATAGTTGCCTGAGTCCTCTCTCTTCCCTTTTTTGAAGAGGTGCGACTGGCATGGCTGTGCCAGCAGTAAATTCTTAGTGTAAATGCAGCTATACTAGCAAAACTACATTTTGAACAATGTAGTTGTTTCGTTCATGGAGAGTATTTTTATTATATACTGGTACAAAGTACAACTTGGCTAGTTTAGCTGTGTCCACACTGGAGGTACTTTGTTAGAATAATGTATTGGTAGTGCTCATGCTACTTTGAGCCCTTCCTTTGCAAAGGAGGGAACTTAGTCAAAATCAGTTTGTAGAGCAGATACAGTACAACATTTCTTATATGACAGTTCATTGGTCAGTGTTGTAGTCAATTATATCAACAAATAGTCCTTACAACAAATCCAGGAAAAAACCTAATTGCTCATAGAGGGAGGTCTGACAAAAAAACAAAACAAAACATATTTCATAGACATTAGGGCTGGAAGGGACCTCGGAAGATCACTGAGTCCAGCCCCCCGCCCAAAGGGCAGGAAGTCAGCTGGAGTCATAGGATCCCAGCAAGATAAGCATCCAAATTTCTTTTGAAGGCATTCAGTGTAGGTGCTTGAACCACCTCTGGTGCCAGGCTATTCCAGACCTTGGGGGCTCGAACAGTGAAGAAATTCTTCCTTATGTCCGGCCTGAAATGGTCTTGCAGGGGTTTATAACCGTTCAACCTTGTCAATATTGGTTAAGACTGTTCTGTTTAGTTAGCTCAGGCACCTCAGCCTCGTCCTGACACTGTTAAATAGACAAAACTAGGCTGAATTTGTAATCATGCATGCATGCCCATGTCTCTTGTTACCTTCATGTGGATTTTCTGCCCAGCAAAAGTAACCTTAGCAACCTTTTAAAAATATAAAATTACACACAACATAAGCATGCCAACCTAAACTGCTGGTAATTTTCTAATTAGGTCCCTTTCTAAGAATGCCTGAGCCTAGTGCTGTAGGAGCATGTATATACCTTGTGAGAATGATGTGCATATAGCATAAATTACACTTGTAGGAATTTGGATATTTCCAGGGAAAGGGAGAGATGCGCTGGTATACTGACCCTAACCCAGCATGTATGGGTATGTGTCTGTGTAGGAGTATGGGTACAGGTGGATCCAAGATTTTAAATATAGGCATATGGGCATTCTGGGGTGGTGGCATGACCCCACTCCCAACCTCCCCACCCACTGGGAGCAGACCATCTCACAGGAGCAGCAACTGGGGACTTTTTTTTTTTAAGTCCCCGAATCGGGTAAGAATCCTCCCCTTCCCCCTGCACTTGACACCCCTTCCCTTCTCCTGCATACTCAGCAGCACCTTCTCTCTCTTTCCCTTCCATTCCCTCCCCTCCCCCCCAGTCCTCTCTGTTTACACCTCTGGGCACAGGGAGACCTGCCTATCTCCACTGCTGTCCTGGCCTCTCCTACCACACTCCAGTCCCCCTCCCTGCATTTGTTCTGATGCTGATAAGTGGGGAGAGAGGGGGAACCTGCCCACTGTGGCTACTGCTGCTGTTCCCATCTGAGCCCGGCTCTCTGTGCAACCTTGCTGGAGTGGCTTTGGACCCCCTGTCTCCAGGTCAGCTGGGGGATGGGGCAATGGCAGGTGGGGCAGGAGAGGTATTGGGAGGGATGAAAAGGTATCACTAGGCACAGAGGGAAAGGAAAAGGATGCTGAGAAGTAGGGATTCCTACCTACTTTGGAGGCATAAGGTCTCCAGGTGCTCAACATGGTTTAAAAGGTGGGGACCACAGCCCTCTGAATCAACCCCTGAGTATGGATTGTTATTTTGTGAGACTAGTTGGAGGCAGGAAGTGGGGCTGTAAGCGCCAGTTCTACTTATTCATAGTACTGAAAGAAAAGTTAAAATATGGGCATAATGAAATCAATAGGAGTTCTGCCCTTTTTATTTTACTGGGCCAGTATTTCACCCTTAATTGTCCCAATCAAATTGCTTTCAATTACTGCATAAAGGCTATCATAATGTTTACTGGTTTAGAAATTTCTGAATATTTTCTTCCAAGCAGGAAGTTGAACTGGATTTTTTTAATGTAAAAAATACTGGTATAAACTATCATGGGGGAAGGCACTTTGATTCAGGAGGTAAGATTAAGATAGGAAGGTTAAAAGAACAATAACACACACACAAAGCATAAAGCTATTTAAATACATAGTTAATTGAAAATGAATAAATACTAGATGAATGGATCAAGGGCAAGTGGCAAAGCTCCCAGTAAACTCAGGATTCAGGATTTTGCTGCTGGACCTTAACTTTGGATTTCAAACAGCAGGGAGGCCACATAGGCATGCACTTAAGGATATTAGTGCTATGTATTTGTTACAGAAAGGCAGTATTCCTGTTTTAAGTAATTGCACTGTGTAAAATAAATTTTTAAAGTGACTAAACAAAGATGATAATTTTATAATTTTATTTTTTTCTCTATCAACTCTGTTTACTTTTATCTAAAAATTCATATCATCAGTGATATTGTATTCTTTTTAGGGTAATCGAATTTCCTGTGCACACAAAAGGGACACATTTAATTTGGATCAATGTGTCTCTCTTTAACAGGGACCAGCGATCCATATGTCAAGTTTAAAATTGGAGGAAAAGAAGTGTTTAGAAGTAAAACAATACACAAGAACCTCAATCCTGTGTGGGAGGAAAAAACTTGCATTCTTGTTGATCATCTTAGGGAGCCTTTATATATAAAGGTGAGCCATTTATTTATTTTTCTCTGTAGAATCCCAAGTTGGAAGTCTTATTTATTGGTTCTACCTACTATAGTATTGCACCTTTGAAAAGTTATAATGCAGTTCTGCATTTCTAAGGGGGCACTGTCAACTAAATTTTAGTCTTAAATGAATTTTTTAATGAAACAGTGGTAAAGGGAGAAATGAAATCTAAGATGAATATATATATATATATATATATATATATATATGCTTATATTGGTGATATCAAGCTTTAAAATTTAAATACAGCTTTTTAGGGTGGTTAATTCAGACAATATTTTGCTAGTGCAGGAGGGCCAGAAAGTAAAATTGACTAGGAACAAAAGAGAGTCTATTTTTCTTACCCAAGCTGAGTGTGATATATAAAATAAAGAAATAAATACCAGTAGCACAAAGTATAGGCAAAAGTAAATTAGTATAAAATTGTTAAAAATAAAATAATTGGTGTTATTTGTAAAATAAGATGAGCTAAATACGAGAGGGTTTTTTTTGTTGGCAGTGTCTCTTTTGTTTGCTGTTTACAGCAATAGAGCTGGAGAGAACATAGCTTTTATATCAAACACTGTCCTGTCATATTGCCAAACAATTTTTTCTGAAGAGTATTTTGATCCTAATCCCACAAGATGCTTCAAGTTTTCACATTTGTTCTTTATATTCATTACTGAATAAGGTGTATTTGTTACATATGTTTGGTAGTGTTTTCTTCTGTCTATCTTTAATGGGAGCATGTTTGGTATCTGTGAGTTAGGATAAACCAATTACTAAAAAGAGATCCATTTTCTAAAGTGAACATTTGAATGCTCATTGCTTGAAGAGCAGAGAGGTTGCAGAGTTGATGCTGTGCAGCCAGGGGCCCCCCTGGGCGCACACCTCAGGCTCTCACTCTGCCTGGCAACAGATGGCAGTGGTGCACAGGAAGCCTTTATTGGCTGAACCAGACTGCTCAGAGTCAGCCTGTCTTCCTGAAGCATACTATAAAATTGTGAAAGGGGTTGTTCTGCTCCCTGCTGGGTTGGAATAGTAGAGTCTAATGAACAATACACTGTCTCCCGGGGTGGGGGCAGGGGCAGGGAAAGGAAAGTAAAGTACCCTGGGATGCTGGAAGATTGTGTTTTAGTTTCTCTCAGAGGGGTAATTTGTACAGACTTTTGCTCTCCCAGCAGAAACTCTCCCAGGAGTGATTTAATCGTGGTTGTTCCCAGGTTATTTTTCTCCTGCAGTGGTCAATTTTTGCTCTGGCAGAAAAATCCTGAACATTGGTAGTTTCTCCTGAGAGAGCAGCAACTCTCCCAGGAGAAACTGAATGTCTGCATATGGCCAGTGAAAATACCTGAAATACTTCAGGATCAAGGTCCACAATCAAGATCCACCTAAACCTTTTTAAAACCATCTCTGCAGTAACAGATGCTGTCAGTTAAATAGTGTGATTCTGCACAGACAAAGGAGTGCATTAGTGTCAGAAGCTGTTCAAATTAAATGCAACTCTCCACCAGTACTTCACTGTCACTGTTAGAAACTCAGAATTAATTATCACAGTTATTTTGATGCAAGGAAGAGAAGTAGCATCAAGGGAACACATTTAAATAAACTGCTGCCTGTTCTGGACAGTTTTGCATAAAGAATTACTGATCCTCCTGCAAGGTATTAGGTTATAAATAAGGTCTCAGAAATACGTATTTTGATTAGTCAAGAGAAACTGTATTGATTAGCATAGTGTGGCCACCATTGCATTTGGACTTTGAACAAAACTTCTCAGTTTTTTAGTACTGTGTATAACTCACTTACATACTACAGTTCAGGACATGATTAAATAGCCCAGCTGCAAAAGTTTATTTAAAAAGGATTCCATTTGGTTCCTTTATGCTAAAACTCTTATTTTATCTATAAGTTATTCAACTGCAAGATCTAAGTTTTATGAGAGAGCTTATAAAAGTTGCAGCGGAAGAATGTTGTTACATATAGTTAAACACAGGAAATAAACATTTATTTGAAAGCTTTTAACTAAACCTTTGCCAGTGTGTTTTGTCAGCTGAGTAAATTAAACTTTTGTCCAGTAATATTTTATACAATATACACAAAGAGAAAGGAATAAGGTTTATGGTGTTTATATAGGCATGTTTGAAAGCTTTCCCATAATTATTTAACTGTGAACTATAATTTGAACTTGAATATGTCCGACTAACAATATGTTTCTGATATGAAAAATAATTTGTTAGCACATCAGACTCTGATTATACATGTTATTTACACTCTTCTATAGTATATCATGTAATTAAGTTTTTTTACTTTATGTTCTAATTCTGCCACCTTTTCATAGAGTACTAGAGATCTGCCGGTGTTGATATGAGTAAAGGTGCCAGCACTGATAAAAATGGCCAGGAAAAAAGAATTTTATTTCATGAAAAATGTCAAGGTTTTGAAATTAGTTTTCAGTCTGAGGTGGAATGGAAACAAGACATTACAAATGAGAGACCCACCCAGAATAGCTAAGAAACCAGTGATTATGAATATTTGAGAGGTAGTTTCAAATCCCTGTTTCATCTGATTTGAATGTAGAATAAATGAATCCTGATTTCCCATGAGGATACCCCTAACCACTGGGATATAGAATCAATGTGCATCGGCCTGCAGCCCAGTTAATATCTAATTATTTATACAAACTGGAATAGTTTGAGCAAGAGAGGTTGAGGGCATGGGTACATAAATCAGTTCTTGCAAAATAAACCAAGGTGGAAACTAACACTGCAATAACTAATCTACTCTTCAGTAGCAGTCTGCAGGGGCAGATCCAGAGGGAACTCAGTGGCATGCGTGCACCCCCAAACCTTTCAGTCAACACCACAGGAACAGGAGTTGGAGACTTTTTTCAAGTCCCTGAAGGAAGTAAGAATCCCCAATCCTTCCCATTTTCCTCTCTGTGGCATGTCCTATTCCCTCCTCCTCCCATGGCTGCTGCTGTTGCTGTCTATGCTGATCTGGTGGCAGCAGAGAAGCTCTATAGCTGATCCTGCCCCACTCCAGCCAGGGATAGCAGCACATGGTGGGTTCTTCCTCCCTGCTCAGTCCCCCCTGGTGTTCCCTGCCAACATGGGACTAGACGCTTACAAAAGGGAATCCATGTTGCTGTCCTCAGCTGATTCCAGTTCTCTCCTCAGCCCAGGGCAGGAGCCTCCCTCCTCTCCTGCCGCAGGTGTAGCCAGGAGCAGTGGCAGTGGCAGGCGGGAGAGGGGGGCTGGAGAGGAGAGGATATGTTGCTGAACACAGGGGAAAGGAGGGGAGGGGAAGGAAAGGGAGGGGAAAGATTAGGGGACAGGGGCAGGTGCTGCCTAGGCAGGGGGCATGGGACAGGGTCACAATTCATGGAATGGGGGCAGCTCCCACTGCTGCTTGCACCCCAGGAGGGTGGGGGCAGGGGGCATGTGCCCCCAGATCTGCGTGGCACGGGGCAGGCTGCAGCTGCAGGATGGAGGCAAAGCCAGCACTGCGTGGGCTTTTCTTACCAGGGACTGGGCTAAGAGCAGGCTCCGGTGGTGCTAGGAGAAGGCTGAAGCCACACCAAATTTTGCCACAGCTCCACTCCCAGCCCTGCGCTGCCTGGTGCAGCCTCGGCCGAATGCCTCACCTCCACCCAAGCACTGGGAAAAGCCCGGCTGTGCTGGGTGGTGGTGTGGGGCTGGGAGCCGAACTGCAGCAAAATTTGGGGTAGCTGCAACCTCTTCCCAGTGCTGCCAGAGCCCACTCCAAGCACAGCCCCTGGCAAGAAGAGGCATGCAGTGTTGGCTCTGGCTCCACCCTGCAGCTGCAGCCCACCCCACACTGTGCATCCTATTTTGTCTTATAAAAGCTCCCAGTTCCAGGTTGCTATTGTTTGAAATGTTAATGATAGGATTTGGGGATGTCAGTGGAGCTCTGAACTGAAGAACTTAAGTGCAGAAAAATCACTCAATGAATAAAAATCCAGTTTTAGAAATAGCAATCAAATACAACAAAAACAAAATGCGCAAATGTCTTACATACAGAGTACTGCTGTGCAACCAGGTCTCTGGCTTTCATTTTTACCCACTCTGTTGCTAGGAGACAGAAGGGCTATACTTCTATCATTTCTGTACTTGCT